GGGACGTGGTGGGCTTCAGACATTAGTTGCTGCCAATTCAGCTCTCTCTATGAACAGTTTCTGGTCTCCAGGGCTCCCCAGAGCCAGTTAAAGCAGACAGTGTCTTTGGTAGCAGGTTCCTGCACCATCCTGAAGATACTCGTAGGTTTCCAGCAGGATGCCTTGGTTTTCCTCACATAGAGTCCTTCCTCCTCTATAGTATCTCCACTTTTCAAATGAGAAAGCAAACATAGAGCAATAAGAGAATGTCCCTTAGGTCCCCCAGCCATTAAGCAATGGAGCTGGCATCCAAACAAGGATGTCTGATACAGAGTGCTGGCTCTTACCACTGTGCTAGTTGGCCTCCCAGAAAAATCACTGGACTCAGTGAAGCCAGGCTAACACATGGGCTGACAGATGCCCCAAGGCTGCACCTCGCCTGGGCACATGGTCCAGATCCCACGATCCCAACAAATGCCTTATTTACCAGTATCACCTGTCAAAACCACAGATGAGAACTCTCCCTGGGGAAGGAAGACTTCAATCTCTCTGCTCAATCTGAGTTTCACCAGCCTCTCTGAGAGTCTGAGTCTTGCAGCCTCACTACTAAAATTGAGTTTCCCAGAGTGTGAGCAGTTTCTTTTCTTTTTTTCTTTTCTTTTTTTTTGAGTCAGAGTTTCACTCATCACCCAGGCTGGAGTGCAATGGTGCATTCTTGGCTCACTGCAACCTCTGCCTCCCAAGTTCAAGTGATTCTCTTGCCTCAGCATCCTGACCATGCCTGGCTAATTTTTGTATTTTTAGTAGAGACAAGGTTTTGCCATGTTGGCCAGGCTGGTCTCGAACCTCTGATCTCAAGTGATCCACCTGCCTCAGCCTCTGGAAGTACTGAGCTACCGCGCCTGATCGGTTGTGAACATCTTCTGATTAGAGACTTGGTTATAGCATATGGACTGGCTTTGCTGTGGGGAGTAGAGATCACAGGATCTGCCTGAGTTCAAACCTCCACTTACTAATTGGTCAACTAGGGCAGGTGGCTTAACGTTCTTAGGCAAGTGCCTTCAGCTTCCTACTCTGTAAATTGTGGTAAGAATGACACTCACTTTGTGGAGGTTGTTATGTTTAAGCCAAGTAAAGCCCTTAGAAAAGGACTGGGCACCTAAGAAGTGCTTCAAGGCCGGGCACGGTGGCTCACACCTGTAATCCTAGCACTTTGGGAGACCAAGGAGAGTGAATCACCTGAGGTCAGGAGTTTGAGACCAGCCTGATCAACGTGGTGAAACCCTGTCTCTGTTAAAAATACAAAAATTAACCAGGCATGGTCGCGGGCGCCTGTAACCCCAGCTACTCGGGAGGCTAAGGCAGGAGAATCGCTTGAACCTGGGAGGCAGAGTTTGCAGTGAGCTGAGATTGGGCCGTTGCACTCCAGCCTGGGCAACAAAAGCGAAATTTCATCTTAAAAAAAAAAAAAAAGCTTCAAGCATTTACTATTATTATCATCATTATTTGGCACCAAACCCTACTTCCATTTGTAGTGGCTAGGGCGTGAGCATTGAAACCTGGTCTGGAAAAAAACCCACCCCTTCACAACACACCCCCCAGGGAAAGTGTGGAGCTTTTGAAGCTCTAGGTGGGGGTCGGGGGAACCTGGTCCTAGGAATTCTAGGCCGCCAGGTGAGAGGCAACGCTTTCGCCCCTGAGAACAGGACTTGTCGGGGAGGGACAGCAAGAGTATGACCAGCCAGACCTGATTTGCCCGGAGGTGGGCAAGGGCAAGGTTGGAAGCTAATGCAGGAAGCCAAGGGCCCAGGTGGAGCTCCGTGGTGTCAGCTCCCTTCCTCCTCAAGGGTTGCTCCCTGTCTGTCGCAGTAATGTTTGAAAATATTTTACTGGATTCCTAGCCTTGAACTTCAGCGTCTTCTGCCCTCCAGGCAGGTATTTTCAGATGTCGTAATCAGCACTAAGATTGTGTGTCTCTTGAGACACTGTCCCTGAAATCTACGACCTTCAGCTGGGAATTGAGGGCTTCCCCGCCCAAACTCACCCCTTCACAACACACCCCCTAAGGAAGGTGTCCAGCCTTTGGAGCGCCAGGTCGGGGCGGAGGGGAAACTGATCCTAGGAATCCTAGGCCGCCAGGTGGGAGGCGACGCTTTCGTCCCTGAGGACAGGATTTGTCGGGGAGGGCAGCAAGAATCCGACCAGCCAGCCACTTTAGAGACTGTCAGAGGAGCCTCAGCTCATAGGGTAGCTGGGGGGCCGGTGCGAAACTCCCTTAGGGACGAATTTCCAAATACGACGGAGGGCATCTGCGAAGGGATGGGCTGTTCTGCGGGGGCAGTCGGCAGACATTTAAGTAACTCAAACATTTAATGAATTAAGCAGCTATTTACTGAGCAATTAGTACGCTTTGAGAGAGAAGTCCTACCGAGGCCTCGCAGTGGCGGTAAGTCCGCGGGGCCGAGGCCAGGTGGCGCCAAAGGCCCATCGACGCCATCTGCCGGGCTGTCGAGGCCCAGGCTACGGGCTAGTCTAGAGAACCCGAAATCTGGGCGAACAGAAACAGTAGGTGGAAGGAGAGGGCTCCAGGGCCGGGTTCAAGGGTACCCTGGTAAGAGATGAGGGGTTCGGAGGACTGGTGGGTCTGGGCATACCTGGAACAGGTATCCAGGCCTGGAGTGGGCGGGGCTTGCGCCCAAGAGGGTGGGGCCTGAGTATGGTGGAAGGGGCCAGAACACGCGGGAGGCGGGCCTGCGATAAGAGTCTGGGTTGCGCTCTCCACAAGGCGTTATTATTGTGCCCTAGGCCACAGCCAAAACGCTCTGGGTAGGCGGGACTCGAGGGCCCGTCAGGGGCGTGGCTTGCATCTTCCGTGGGCGGCCCCTAGGGCGGGGCTCCGTGTAGGTGTAGGTGAACTGGGGCCTGGGTGAGGTGTGACAGCCCTGCGAGGGCGCAGTTCGTCCCCTTTTGTGAGCTTGGGAGGGGCGGGGCTTGTAGCTGCGGGGAGGAGTTGAGGGGAACTTAACGCGTTCCCTGGAGGGCGGAGTTTGCTTCATCCTGGGACGGAGTTAAGATCTCTGGTGGATTCTCTGCAGAGTCCAGGGCTCTGTGAGGCAAAGCTTGCAGCTGTGTTGGGCAGGGCCTGTAGCACCGAATGAGGAGACTGTGTAAACTCGGTGCGGAGTTCAAACCTCCGGGAAGCCGAGACCAATTGCTCTGCCAATCTAAGAGCGGCGAGCGGAGGGGGCGTGGCTGATGCGTTATGGGCGGGGACTGGGCGGGGCTGATAAAACAGTAGGGTGGGCACGAACGCGCTGAAATCTTTGAGTTGGCAGGGGCGGGGTTTGTGGTTTTGGGGGCGGGCCTCTGGAGAGCTCCCGGGGGCTCTCGGGTTCTGCAGCGGGTGGGCGTGGCTCGTAGCTCCCGGGTCCGGGCTGATACCACCGGAGTCTGCAGTTCTTGGCCGCGCCCGCATGAGGCGGGGCCTGCGAGTCAGTGGGCGGAGCCCGGGCTGGGCGCAGGCCGGGGCTCTGCCCTGGGAGGCCGTCGGTTTAGGCCCGCACGCAGCTCCGCATCTGGTGCTCATTACAAGATGACAAAGAGCCGGCTCTGGGCCCCCTTCCCCACTCCCATCCCCCGCCTCCGACTGCAGTGCATTTAACTCCTTCCTGCCCTCTGGGCGCTCTGGATCCCTATCTGAGGTCTTGGAGGGGACTCCAGAACTTCCCGTCCCGGCTGGCCTTGTCGCTCCCCACGCTTGCTCACCTCCTTCCCAGACCCAGACGTCTGGGCCGCCTCGCAACCCTCATTCGCATCCAGCAAACCTCCTCGACGGCGTCTCCAAGGTTAAAGCTGTGCAGGATCTGGTGGGGGCGTCTGGTTTGAGTTAGCGGAACGTGAAGGCGGGAGCCGGCGGGCAGTACGTAGCATTCCCTCCGCCCCCTCCGCAACCCCCGGTTCATCCCCAGCTCCGGCCCCTCCTTTCCTGGTTCCCTGGGGCCAGCCCAACCTTCCAGCTCAGGTCCAGGCCCTAGGCCAGAGGGTGGCTTAGGGCTCCAGGTAGGGAAGGAGGCGCTGGGCCACTCCTCGCCTGCCCGGGTGGTCGCGGCGGCTCTGCCCCGTCCTAATTAGAGGCCCCTGAGAGGCTGTAACTGAAAAATTACAGAGGAGGTGGGAACTGGCGTCTCCCCTGCCCAGGTCTCACTTCCGCCCCACAAGGCAGTGTGCCCGGGATGAGGGAGGTCACCCCCACCAGGCTGTGATCTTTGACCAGTCCCTCCTCCAGTTCCTGGGACACCTCAGTCCTGAGCAGCCGGAGCCCTCGCTCAAGCTCAGGTCTGCTGAGCTCTGTCTTCCCCAACCAGCCCCAGCCAACACAGACAAGAGCAAAGTGCGGCCCCCCGCAAAAGAAGGCCTTGCTCCTGTGGCTGTCCAAGCAGTTAGCATGGGATCTCTCTGGGTTCCTGGTCCTTCCCATCCCAGCCTCATCCCCGAAGTAAGCAGAGGAAGGCCTCCAAGAGCACCTGAAAACCAGGAGCGGCAGTCCCCTTGAGTGACCCTGAGCCCCAACCCCAGCTTCTGTGAAGCCTACAGGGGTGGGAAGAGAAGTGTCTGAGGAAAGTTAGGAGCAACGCACCCACTAGACCCCTCCACTCCCATAAATCACCATTCCCAGAGCCTACTTTGACCCCTAAGCCCCAGTTTGGCTCCAGTTCAGCAAAAGCCCTCATTCCACAACCCTCCCCCAGATTCAGCCCCACCTTCTTAGAGCTTTGGTAAAATGAGAAGTAAATATGAAAATTTCCCCATGCCAAACCTCCCACTGCTGGGCTCAACTGTGTGACCTTGGGCAAGGCTCTGCCCTCTCTGGGCTCCTGCTAACCTAAGAATCTTTGAGGCATACCCTCCCTTAAAGGGATCTTACCTTACCTCTTTGAGGACCCAGACAAACTGAAGGAAGATCCTTCCTTTTTTCTGAGTCCTCCCAGAACCCCCTCAGGCACCAGTAGGGGTCAGAAGCCTTGGGCAAGGTTGGCATCCCATTTATTGGAGAAGACCCCAGCACCCGCCCTCCTAAGGTCTTAGGGGCTTTGGTGTATCCTTGGTCACGAGCTCTGGGCCAGGAAGCAGAGTTCCTGAAAGCCAAGTCTAGTGGTTGAGAGAGAACCCTGGCTGGGCCCGGGGAGCAGGAAGCCATCTGTCCAGCTGGGCGCCCCCATGGGTCCCTGGTGCAGCCTCGGCCATGCGTCCAGCACACACCCCTTCCCCGTCCTCCATGAGGGGGGGTCTGTACCCCATCACACGCTGGTTCTGCAGGTCTGCACCCCTGTGAGGCTGCCCCTGGGGGGCATGGGTTCCGTTGGGCTCTTGCTCCCGGCGTGGGTGACCCAGCGATAGCAGTCGGTGATTCGCTTGTTGGGTGCATGAGGGCCACAGCGGGTGCAGTACACGATGCCCAGTGCAAGCAGGACCACCAAAAAGACACACGTTGGCACCAGGAGTGCCACCAGCAGCCACCGGTCATCCCTCTGGCTGTGTCCAGTTAGACCGGCCTCCCCCAGGGCTGTTGGGGCTGCCGTGGGAGATGCTGAGGGCAGCCACGGGGCCAGTTTGGGATGAGGGCCATCTTCCCTTGGGATTTGGGGGGCTTTGGAATGGGGATGTGTAGGGCTGATGGGTAATGTCTGGTTAGTGGGGCTCCGAGAGGGCAGGAGGGTGGGGAGGGCTGGGGGCTGGGTGGCAGCAGGCACAGAGACTTGATGGGCAGGGGACACAGGGGACCTGGAGGTGATGGTCACAGAGGCCTGGGCAGTGGGGATAATGGGAAGCTGGGTGGCCTGGGTTCTGAGGATAGGGACATCTGGGGCTAGAGGGGGTTGATGGGCACTGAGGGTGGTGATCAGAGGGGCACGGTTAGGTGGGATTCCAGGCAAATGAGTGGTGGTCTGGGTGCCAGTGACCTGGTTGTCTGGAAACATGGGGGACCGGTGGGCAGGGAACAGCTCAGGATATTTGGTTGAGATCATGGGGGGCTGGTGGGCTGGGGGCCGTGCTGGGTGAGAGACAGAGAGAATTCCGGGTTGGTAGGCAGAAGGTAGATCTGGATAGTTGGCTGCAATCACAGGGATCTGGTGTTCACGGGGCAAATCTGGGTATGTGGCAGAGATCACAGGGGGCTGGTGGGCAGAAGGCAGTGTGGGGTGCGTGGCAGAGACCACCACTGGTCGGGTGATAGAGAGCACTGAGGAGTGGTAGGGGACCCTGGGGGCACTGAGCGGGGGTGGCCAGGTGGGCTCCGGGTGGGGTTTCTGTGGGTCTCCGTCCTCTGGAAAGCTCGGTCTATAGGCCAGGGCAAAGTCAGGTGGCTGCGTAGGCTCCATCCACAGAATCCCAGGCATCTCCGTCCAGCCACCATCGATGGCCTCCCAGGCCTCATCTTCATCTTCCTCATCCTCCCCATCAACCAGCAACTCATCCTCCCCATCAACCAGCAACTCATCCTCGAGATTGTGGGAAGCCCGGGCACCTATGGCCCCTGCAGGGCTGCAGCTGATGCCATCAGCCTCCAGCTCATGACCCTCGCTACAATAACACTCAAAGCCACCAACGTAGTTGACACACATCTGCTGGCACACACCGGCAATCTGGCACTCATCTGTGTCCACGCATCGGTGCGGATCATCCTCCGCTGGCCGGAAACCCAGGCGACAGTGGCAGCTGTAGCCTTGTGCCCCACCGGGCTCACACTGCTGCTCGCAGGGAGCCTGGGCACAGGGGTCCTCACAACTGTGCCCGTCTGCTGCCAGGCGGAAGCCCTCAGTGCAGCGGCAAGACACGTGACCATCCACCTCCTCCACACATTCATGTTCGCAGCCCCCGTTGTCAGGGCCGCAGCCAGTCCCTGGGCACAGGGGCCCAGCCCGTGACCAGCCCACACCTCCCTCCGGCTGCTTCACGCAGAGCAGAGAGGCTCCCCTGCCAGCCTGGCACTGCACAGCGGCCACGGAGCCGAAGGGCAGCCACTCAAACTCTGTAGAGACCAGGTGGAAGGGTGTGGTGTAGACCGCTGGGCCGGCCTGGCCCGCCTCCTCTTGCAGTGCGGGGCAGGCGCCCTCGAAGCCAAACTGGCACAGGTAGCCGTCGACAGCCAGTGTGCACGAGCCCTCGAGCCAGCGGTGCTCGCCACCGGCCTCCAAGGCCACACAGCGCTGGGCCGGGCAGGGGCCTCCAGTGGCTGGCTGGGCCCAGTTGGTGAAAGCCGTGTCCTGGTCCCCCGTGGTCCACGTGAAGCCGCGTAGTGGGCGCTGCGGCTGGCATTGCCGGGCCTGCCGCTGCAGCCCGATCCACAGCAGCCGGCTGGCCGGGCCTGCACCCACCAGGCTGTCCACGCGCCGGGCCTCCTCGGGGGTCCGAGGAGTGGCCAGGTTGCCCCCCAGCTCGCGGCAGGCCCGCCAGGCCTCGAGGAAGGTGCGGCGCTTTGGGAAGAGCGCGTAGCAGCTGCCGGGGCTGCAGGAAGCGCGCGGCTCAGCAGCCCGGGAGTCCTGGCCCAGTGTGGGCCCTGCGGCCGCCCAGGCCAACAACAGGCGCAGCAGCATCGCGATGCCCCACGACTGGTCCGGCCCCGGCCCGGCGGCAGCTCTTGACAGGGGGAGGGCCTGGGGCCTCCTGCGGGCGGGCTGGGGGCGGATCTGGGGCTGGGTCCAGGCCTTGTAAGGAGTGGGCTGGGGCGGCTGCCAGCTCCCTGCTCCCTCTCCCCCGGGGGCCGCCGGAGCAGGAAGCAGTGGGGTGGGGGGCGCTAAGGTGGGGGGCGGAGGAGGGGAGGAGGCGCGGTTGACGGCCGCCCCAGGCCCCATGGGGCTGAGAGTCAGGAGGTGGGAAAAGCCTGCCTGCAGAGCTCTGCGAGACCCTCTAGCTGGGGCTCAGGGCGGTGGGGTGAGGTCGCTTCCCAGAGACTCAGAGACCCAAATCTGGACACGGCAGCCTCGTCACACCCGTGAGCAGTCTCAGCCCAGCTGCTCGCCACGCACAGGAACATCCTCATGCCCTCCTCGCCCCACAGACTCGCGCATGCGCCTCCTCCAGCCCCAGCTCGGTGCAAAAGTGCTCTCTCTGCCAAGCTGTTTGTCTCTTCACCTCACCGCAGACATCTGCTGGCTTGCAGACGACTCCCTTCCCACACGTGCACACATTCTGACATGCTAAGACCCTAGATGTACATACAAAGATGGTGTGGCATTCTACATGGCCTGACACATGAAGACATCCGATTCGGGGGCAGGCCCTGGATGGAACCGTCTCGGTCACCCAGGCCCAGGCATCCTCCGCCTCTCATTTATTTACTGAGCCCCTCCCTGCCTCAGCCTCTCCCCCTACCCTCAAGCTTTCTGGTTCCAGCTGGGCCAATGTGTGGGGTGTTGGGGGAGTGAGGGGGCCAGGGGCTGCCCTCTCTTCACTCCAGCTCAGCCTGGGGCCCTGGGAACCTGGGCTTAGAGGGAGAGAAAGCAGCCCCTAAACAGGAAATGCCTCTCTGGGCTCCTGCGTCAGGAAGGCAGGGTGCATGGTTTAGGGGGCTGGGTGGGGGCTGGGCTGCACTCAGGATGTGCAAGGCTGTGAGGGGACCCATGCAAGGCCATGTATGGGCATGGGGCACACAGTGACACATATGTGTGTATGTGACACAGGCATCACATGTGTGGAGCCCTCCCTGCCCCCTTGGCCTGCTGAGTGGGCCTGGCCAGGGTCCTCTTCCCACCCTTCCTGAAGGCCTCTGGAGGCATGTGCACTGAGCCCACCACCCAGGACAGCCTCTGGGGAGCTGGCTGGTGGATTAACCCTTGCACACCCACCACACTCTTAGCAGAAGCTGGAAACAGGGTGGGGAGGTGGGGGAGAGGCTCTGCCCTGTGGTGAGCTGCCCTGGTGCAGCTTCTGACTCTGCCACAGGTGGATCGGCTTTGTGACCGCAGGGGAGTCACTGACCCTCTCTGGGTCTCCTTTTTTCTCAGTTGCAATATGGGGGTAATGAGTCCAGGAATTTTAGCTCAGCAGGGCTGTGATATTGTGTCACAGCACTCAATGTTTGCAAATGTGCTTTGTCAGCTGCGGAGCCTGAAGCAAATGTTCCTCAGTCTTCTGAGCGTATGTAGTGGGTGGGACCAGGGTGCATTTTGTAAACCACCTTCCAGTGCCTGGGCTGGCCCTGCAGACCCGGCCCCCCACCACCCCCCTGCCCCACCAAGAACCAGGGCTTGCCATATGCCTGGAAGTCCCTTCTTATAAGGTCTATGCCTGTGAAGCACACAGAATGACTCTCCTTCTCAGGAGACAAAAGTCAAGATGGAGCAGTTCACCCTGTTGCTGGCTCAGGCCCCAAACCTTGAGATCATGCTTGACTCCTCTTTCTCCCACACCCCACATCCAGTGTCTCAGCGAATCCTGTTTGCCTCACTCTCAAAACAGATCCAGAATCTGACCACTTCTGGACACCTTCTTTGCCGCCCACCCATGGCCCAGGTGGCCATCAGCTCCCATCTAGATTTCCCCAGCAGCCTTGCCCCTAGATTCTGTCCTGTCCTCTCCATCCTGCCACAGGGATCCTTTCAAAATCCAAGTTAGGTTTGGTCACTTCTCTGTTCAGAACCCTCTGAGGCCCCATCTTGCTTAGAGGAAAGGCCACATTCCTTGCGGTGGCCTCCAGGTCTATGTGATCTGTCTCCAAACTACTCATCCATCCCTCCCGCACACTCCCTTGGCTGCAGCCACGCCAGCCTCATTGCTGTTCCTTAAACGCTCCAGGGACTCTGCCTCAGGGCCTTGGCTTTGGCAGTTCCCCCTGCCTGTAATGCTCTTCCTGCAATATCCAAATGCTCTGCTTTTTCACTTTCTCCTGGGCTCAGCTCAAGTACCAGAGTCCCTGACCACCTCACCCCACCCTACACTTCCCTTGGGGGTTCCTTGACCACTGGATCTTCCTGCATTTTCCCCCTCTGCACTTATCACTATCTGACATAAAATTTACTTGTGAAGTTAGCTGGGCATAGTGGAGCACCAGTAATTCCAGCTATTTGGGAGGCTGAGGCAGGAGAATCATTTGAACCTGGGAGAGAGAGGTTGCAGTAAGCTGAGATCACACCAGTGCACACTCCAGCCTGAGTGACTTAGCAAGACTCAGAAGGAAGGAAAGGAAGGAAGGGAGGGAGGGAGAGAGGGGAAGGGAGGGAGGGAGGAAGGAAGGAAGAACGAAGGAAGGAAGGAAGGAAGGGCGGCAGGGTGCCAAATAGGGGAAGAAAGAAAGAGGATGAAAGAGAAAAAGAGAGAGGGAGGAAGAGAGAAGAGGAAGGAAGGAAGGAAAGAAGGAAGAAGGGAGGGAAGGAGGGGAGGGGAGGGATGAAGGGAAAGAAAGAAGAAAAAAATTTACTTGTGTATTTGCTTACTGCTTATGGCCCAAATCTCCCTGTGGGGAGTAAAGTTCCTTTTTAAAGTTTCCTTTCTTGTTAAAGAATAAGTGTGTTAATAACTTTTTAAGCCCTATCCTATGTAGCTGTTAGACATGCCGTGCTTACAGGAACAGAGTACATTCTATGTCCTTGTACTTAAACCAAGATATCTGTGCTGGATGTGCTCACAGGCATGTCCCAGCTCTCCATTGCTTTTACCTGTTTAGAAAAGTTTTAAGTTATTAGCCAATCAAGTTTTAGTTTAGATTGTAAGGTCTGGCTCCAGCCAACAGAGATCAGATACAGCAGTAAGGATAACCCCAAATGCATAAGGGATAAATTTGTCTGTTTTCCTTTGTTCATTGTGCTCTCGTGGCAAGATGGCTAGTGGGAGTATCCTTCCTGCAGTCCAGGATGTAAAAATTATGCTGCTAAAAAATCCTTTGTCTCAGTGCTGATGTTTCTTTGCGCCCCCAAGCATCTATTTTCAACATCCCCTAGCCAAGGTTTCCCAACCCCATTGGCATCATTGATATTCTGGCCTGGATAATTACTTGCTGTAGGGACAGCATTGTACATTGCAAGGTGCTTAGCAGTGTCCCTGGCTCCTACCTAGATACCGGTGGCATCCCTCCAGTTGGACCATCCAAAATGTCTCCAGACATTGCCAAATATAATGTTCCCTGGAAGTAACATCATCCCAAGAGGAGAACTTCTGCCCTCGGAGACTGTGAGCTCCATGAGAGTAGGGTTGTTATTTTGTTCCCCGCTCTATGCCCAAGCCTGGAAAGCTCCTGACTCATTCACAGTGCCTCGTGAATAAACTTCAGAGACATGAAGAACCTGGCTCAGGTAGACGCAGTCAGGGAGCTGGGATTCTTCCTGCAGCCAAAGCCCACTTGTCCCCAACACTTGCTGGCCTTCCTCATGAAGTCAGACCACCTCTGGAAATCGGTAGGCTTTTTTGCAGATGTGGAAACTGAGGTACAAGGGATTTCAAAGAGTGTCGGTGGCAGGAGTGGAACTAGAACCAAGGTCTCCTATTCTTATTCCAATTCTCTTTTTGCTGTAGCTCCTTTAGGCATCATTTGAGGAGAGTCTGAGAGTTAGGCCTCAAGTCAAAAACCAAAGATTGGGGCAGGGCACAGTGGCTCATGCCTGTAATCCTAGCACTTTGGGAGGCCGAGGCGGGCCGATCACATGAGGCCAGGAGTTTGAGATCAGCCTGACCAACATGGAGAAAGCTTGTCTCTATTTTTGTTTTGTTTTGTTCTTTTGAGAAAGGGTCTCGCCCTGTCACCAGGCTGGAGTGTAGTGACGCGACCTCGGCTCACTGCAACCTCTGCCTCCCAGGTTCAAGCAATTCTCCTGCCTCAGCCTCCTAAGTAGCTGGGACTACAGGCATATACCATCATGCCCAGCTAATTTTGGTATTTTTAGTAGAGACGGGATTTCACCATGTTGTCCAGGCTGGTCTCCATCTCCTGACCTTGTGATCTACCCACCTTGGCCTCCCAAAGTGCTGGAATTACAGGTGTGAGCCACTGCGCCCAGACCCTTGTCTCTATTAAAAATACAAAAATTACCCGGGTGTGTTGGTGGGTTCCTGTGGCCCCTGCTACTCAGGAGGCTGAGGCACAAGAATCGCTTGAACCCAGAGGCAAAGGCTGCAGTGAGCTGAGATCACACCACTGCACCTGCACTCTAGCCTGGGTGACTGAGACTCAGTCTCGAAAAAACAGAAACAAGATGGGAGGAAGGCATACCAGGAAGAAGGCACAGCCCGGGCAAAGCGACTGAGGTGGCAGAACTCAAGATGGGTTTGGAGAATACAAAGGACTCCACTAGGCCGAAGTAGGGGACATGGTCAGGGATCATGAGAAGGAGTGAAGAGAGAATATCAGAAAGGGAGTAGGGGCCTGGCTTGAAAGGTGTTGAAGTTGTCTCTGAAAGTCTGGGACTCCCTTCTGTAGGCCACAGGGAAGAGAGGCATGATAAGAGACCTCCATGGCTCGTGTGTGGTGGGTGGAGGGGGCCTGGAGGCCGGGGACCAGTTAGGAGGCTGTTGCAATAGTCTGGGAAAGGGAAGGGAGCTGGCTGGAGAGCCTGGCGGCAGGGCGGGCCGGGTTGGGGGAGGCAGCCTCTGGAGGCTCCTTAGGGGCAGCCCTGA